TATCATGAAGATTAGAAAGATTAAAAGGTCTTATTTTAAGTCTATTACACTTTATATGTGATCCTTTGTGCTTACTCTTTTATCAAAAAAAAATTACAATATAGTTGTGTTTGATTTTATCGTGAAGTCATTGATAAAGTTGTTAGAAGGTTAACTGGTAAAAAAACAAAATAAGAACATATGTTACATTTCTTGCAGATGCCAGCTTCCCAAAGACAAAAAGAAAACGTAATTATCGTATTTTGGGACTTCTGTATAAAGTTAAAATCATAAATAATATTGAACGTTAAACTGGTACACAATTAAACAATTTTTAATTGTGTACCAGTTTAACGTTGAATATTATTTATGATTTTAAAAAAAAAAGGTCAGAATTCTTTAGCAGCGTTTTATATCAACAAAACGTACCACAGGATTCCACGCTATTGTAATAAACTTGAATATATAGATAGCTATACCAAATCAAAATATGTTGTTTCGTGGAAATATTGTTTTATACAAACTGATTCTTGTAAAAATTACTTGCCCGTAGTCAGGATGCAGCTCTTACAGAGGTAAATTATAAAAAATATTAAATATTATTACCACCACTTATTGGTAAAGATTTCGTCAAATAACAACTGTAAAACTATCACAAACGTGTAATTTCCACTATAAAATAACTGAAAGACTAAGTAACAGTTTTATAACATGATATTTCGTAGTAAACTATAAATACAGTTCCTGTACATTAGCTGTTTGTTTATATTAAATTATATTCAGTCAGGAGGCTAATATTGTTAAAAACCTAGTTACGATACCCACAGAGACAGGGGACAGAGAGAAAATTGTGTAGCTCTGTGCTTAACAACAAACCTTTAAAAAATTATATTCACATCAATAAATACTAATTCAGATTTTTTTAAGTTAAATAATGAACACTGATGACGAGTTAAAAACATTAAAAAAGGTACCTGTGTTACAGTTATAAATTTAAAAAAAAATAATCCTATGTTGTTTATGGAATTTTGCTTAAAGCTACACCAAGACTACCTCACTAGCCGTGCTAGTTTTAAAGTGATAGAGTAGAAGTAATGCGTTTAATCAACGCCACCCACTGCCAACTTGTTGGATACTTACTCTTATAACGCGCCCAAGGCCCAAAACACGAACGCTGTATTTTTTGTGTGTTAATTGGACACAAACCACAAAACATTGGATCTACATTCAGCCACGCGAACTAATTAAATTATTAATGTGTTGTCAGACTAATTTAATTGCTCTAAACAGTATGTTTGATCAAAAGTATTGTTACAATCATTTTGTGCACTTCCACCTTACGTTTCTGCAATGGAAATGAAGGTCAGTAGTAGGAAAGTTTCAAACATTATTACCGGACTTAACTACAGTGGTAAAGATGGCGCATTCATTTTCCAAGATAATAAAAAGCATATACAAAATATATTGTTTATCAGCCTTGAGCAATCAATCCAGGATATTAAACATCTGGAAAGTTGGTCGTGGGAAAACTCATAAGAAAACTGCGTTGTATTTTATCGGATATAGCTATCGGCATCCTGAAATATGTTATTACGTTTCGTTTTAATGGATTTTTGAACAAAGTGAACAAAGGTATCAACATCAAAACCGAACGGTGTCCATTCCTAAAATCTATACACGTATGTTCTACAAAACATTAAATGCATTACGTTTATGTAATTTGAGTAACAAATAAGAATTAGTTCAGATATCGTGGATACTAAACTAACGACACCTTGATCT